CTTGCACAGCTGCAGCTCAAGGAAAGCGTCAGGCGCTGCACTTGATGATTTGTATTCACGCAGTTCCTCCTGTTCCAGAAATCTGAAATTGAAAAACATTAATAGCTTTTGAAAAAATTATATGAATTTTGACCACCCTGAGCTGTCGAAAAAAAAACCCGAATCATTTTTACATGACTGAGAGTAAAACCCCAACCTCCCGCCACCTGCCGTATAGAACATCAAAGAACTCAGCGACTTACATTTGTTGTTGAAATAAACTGACCTGCGACTTTCTGCCCCATCGCCTGATACAGGAGGTAAATTAAATTATTCAGAAAGCATTTTCGAGCGTTCACTTCTTATGTATTATGAAACAACTCCCCCGGCAGGTTCCTTTGCGCTGCCTCGTCATGGGGTGTAGGCCTGACGCTGACCCGTTGACCAAGCCAGGTACACAGAGCCACGGTGGTACGTGGAACAACCTTCACCGGGAGTTCAGGACTATTTGCCCTTAACAATTAATCTATGTAGGCAAATAAAGGAGCTTTCTGCTCAGTTTGCGTGTTAGTTTATGAACAAGAAACTGTAGAAGTCCCCAACTGAGAAAACTCTTTTTTCTAGGAGTATTAATATGAATTTCCTTAGAATAGGATTTAACCCCCAGATTTGCAAAGAAGTGGAGACTGCATTTAACCCTCGAAATAACAAGGCAAATTCCCCTGAATCTGCATCTATAACCAAAGCGAACCCGGTAGAGTCACGCCTGTGTAACAAAGTTGAATTTCATTTATTATTTCACATTTGGAAACTATGTAGTGCAAATGGCAAAATTAAAAATATCCAGCAGGGGTCATCTTCCCATGTCTTGTATGCACGATAATCAAGTGCAGGGTGGCTTTTTTTTTAATTGAACTCAAATGAAAAGTAGGAGTCTTAAACACTGCAACAGGTTTTCTGAAGAACACGAGTAAAAAACGTACGGATTTGACCTGGTACGCTTTACTTAACACTAGGATTTCTGGAATGTTTGCAGCCGGGAACTGTTTCTGCACAAATTAATTTGCAGATACCCATGACTGTACTTACATGCATAAATAACATCTGTAAAATATGCCTGTAAATGTCCGTATTTAAACCAGAAATCCATTTAATGGGTGACATTTAATCCACGTGTCCTTAAAGCAACGTGATCCCAAAGCCTGTATTGCAAAAATGGACCTTTATGATGGATCTTTGTCCTGATGAGGCCATTAAATGAAGTTGGAAAGGCGTCAGGAGGGCAGGGCATTTCCATTTCCATAAACGGTGGTTTAAGTTGTCCACTTCTACACCTCATATAAATACTTCCATGTGGATTGTTAAGAATTACCACGTACCCAGATCTGCTTGATTTACATTGCTTCCCATTTCAGATTGAATACTTTTGTTTACATTCAGCAGCTTTATTCCTAGCTGAGGAGTAAAATCATTCAGGCAAGCCTGAATCCGTGTGATTCAGCCATCTTCAAATCTAAGTAAAATAAACACTTTTCACATTTTAAACCCTACACTTTTCACATTTTAAACCCTAACCTCTATTATTTGGCGTGGGGCTACTCACTAGGTCAGAGTTATGCCTTTCAGCATGTGATGAAAACACGCACTTTGTCCACATCCCTGGATTTTGTAACACAATCCTTTAGCAATCTGGCAACTTTTCTGGCTTTGTTAAGCGTGGGGCATTGCTTGGGGAAGTTCCTGTGCAATACCGACGTGGCCTGATCCCAAATCCTCTGAAAATAACAGGCGGCCTTCCAGGGGCTTAAGCCACCGACGCGCACAGGCCGAGCTGCGGCGGTGAGGCCGGGGGCAGGCGCTGGCACCAAGCCGCAGGGTGGCGGATGCCAAGCGGCGGGAAACCGGCCTCAGCTGCGGCCCCAGGCCCGGCCTGAACCCGCACGGGCGACGGGGTGTGTGGGGGGGAACCCCCCGTTTCGGGTGGACCAACGCGTATTACACATTCCCATCTCATTTATTTTTCAATTTTTATTTTTTTTTCTTTGTAAATCAAGTCAGCTTGGAGCTGGCCAGAGCCAGGCCCTGCCGCTGTGGCTCCTGTGAAGGCGCACGAGGAAGGAAGCGGGAGTTCCAAGGAAAATCCCGGTTGTTTTTTTTTCCGTGTGATCCCGGCCTGTGGCCACGCACCGAGTAAGACGGGGCTTTGGCTTCGCATGCGAAGGAACAGGGAACTCTGCGTGACTCCCCCTAATTAAAAGCTCATTAACTCCTTCCAGGTGACCTCCTCG